TCCAAAGTCTTGTCTGAGACCAAAGGCAAAACTCCTTCCAGCTGTGACCTATAAAAATCAAAACCAAATTTATCTACTGCCAAGATACAATGGTGGAACAGACATTGGGTACACATTCCCATTCCAAAAGGAAAGAATAGGCCAGAAGAAAGGAGAAACAGGCCCCAAACAAGCCCAAAACCCAGCAGGGCAGCCAGTAAGTCTTAAAGCTCCAAAATAATCTTTGACTCCAAGTCCTGCATCCTGGGCACAATTGAGCATCTGGGCCCCCAAAGCGTCAGGCAACCCAACCCCCAAAGCTCTGCTGGGTGTAGCCCAGTGAGCTACACTGGTGCCTGTGGCTTTTCCAGGCTGGTGTTCCACTCTGGTATCTCCATAGGTCTGGGGTCTCCATGGTGGTCCCTCTGCCTTGGCTCTACTAGACATTTCCCTGTTGGAGGCTCTCTGTGGGGGCTCTGGCCCCACTTTCCTGCTCAGCATTGCTCTAGTAGATGGCCTCTGTGGTGGCTCTACCCCTGCGGCAAGTCTCGGTTTGGGCCCCCAGGCTTTTTCTTACATCCTCTGGAATCTGGGTGGAGGCTCCCAAACCTTCCTAGCTCTGGCATTCTGTGAGTCTGCAGACCTAACACCACGCAGATTCCACCAAGGCTGCTGGCTTGTATTTTCCAAAGCTGCATGTCCAGCCACACCTGGAGCCAATTTACCCACAGCTGGAGTAGCCAAAGCACCTGGTGTGCTGATGCTGGAAGCAGCTTCCCAAGGTGGGCCTGGGTAGTGAGCCCATGGAGGGCTCCTCGAGCCTGTTCCCCAAGACCATTCTGTCTCCCTGGGTCTTTGGGCCTGAAATGGAAGAGGTGGCCCCAGAGGTTTCTGCAATGCCTTCGGGGCCTTTTCGTCCTTCTCCTGATAATCCTTTTCTTTTACACTAATCTTCTTAACTAATGGTTGCTGGGCTGCACCATTGCATGCTCTCTGCTTCTCTACCACATGGCCAGGCTGCAAATTTTCCAAATCTTTACACTCTGCTTCCCTTTTAAATTCTGGCTTTACATTATGCCTTTGCTGCCATAACTCAGAGTAGGCTGTTAAAAGTAACTATGCAGCTTCCTTAATGCTTTGCTGCTTGAAAATTTCTTCTGTCAAACATTCTGGTTCACAACCCTTAAGTCCCCCCTTCCACAAAGTCCAAGGGCATGGACACAATGCAGCCAAATTCCTTGCTATGGTGTAGCAAGGGTTATCTTTTGTCCAATTCCCAATAAGTGCCTCATTTCTATCTGAGAGCTCATCATCCACATGGTCTTTACTGTCCACATTTCTATCAGTTTCTGGTCACAACCATTTAACCAGTCTCTAAAATGTTCCAAACTTACCCTCATCTTTTTCTCTTCTTCTAAGTCCTCCAAACTCCTCCAACTTTTGCCCATTACCCAGTTCCAAAGCTGCATCCACATTTTCAGGTGTCTGTATAGCAACACCCCACTCCTTGGTACCAATTTTCTGTATTAGTCCATTTTGTGTTGCTATAACAGAAATACCTGAGACTGGGTAATCTATAAGGAAAAGAGGTTTATTTGGCTTACAATTCTGGGACAGCTGTGTCTGGCACAGGCCTCAGTCTGCTTCTGCTCATGGTGGAAAGTGGCAGGCAGCCAGCGGGTACAAGCAGATCACATGGCAAGAGGAAGTGGTGGGGGGGCAGGTCCCAGGGTCTTTTAAACAACCAGCTCTCACAGGAACTAATAGAGCAAGAACTCACTCAAGCCCCAACCCCCAGGGAGAGCATTAATCCATTCATGAGGGATCTGCCCCCATGACTCAAACAGCTTCCAACACTGTCACGTTGGGGATCAGATTTCCACGAGTTTTGGGGGAGACAACACATCCAAACTCCATCAGCCTGATAATTCAACTCACTTTCCTTTTTTTTTTTTTTTTTTTTGGTGGCTGGTCAGTATGAGGATCTGAACCTTTGACCTTGGTGTCATAACACCACACTCTAACCAGCTGAGCTAACCAGCCAGCCCCTTCACTTTTCTTTTCTTCTAAAAGCTATGGGGATTTGAGGGGTGTGGTTTTGGTTTGTTTTTTATTTAACTGTTTAGCCTATCTCAGATTTTATTTTGGCTTGCAGTAAAAAGACTTAAATTGACTTTTTCTTACATATAGTTAACCAGTTGTCTTCCCCCAAATTGCCAAGGAATTGTTTAATTTTTCCCCATTCCATTGATTTGAGATTCATTCTTTATCATAATACAGGTGCTCTTCAATTTACAATAAATCCATCATAAGTTGGAAATATCATAAGTCACAAATGCATTTAATAAACTTAACCTACTGAACATCATAACTTAACCTAGCCTACCTTAAATGTGCTCAGAACATTTACATTATAACGAACAGTTGAGAAATCATAAGTTGAACCTTCAAGTTGAAGATAGTCCATATTACATTTGTGTAAATATATTTATCGGTTTGCAGGCTGTTGCTTCTGTTCCATTGATCTGCCTCTTATGCCCTTATCACACTGTCATTAATTCACATAGCATTGTAGTTGGTAGGACAAGCCTTTCTCCGTTTTCTCATTCTTCTTGCTTTTTATTTTTCCAGGAGAACTTTAGAATTGTTTTAAGTACTTGGAAGAGTAGAGAACCACCTGAATTTTGATTGGAAATGCTTTACACCTGTAAATCAATTTGGGAGAAAATTAACATCAGCATATTTGCAGTATTTATATTTCCAATTCAGAAATACACCTTTACTCATTCAAGTCTTTTTTTTTTTTTCTTCCTCCACATCATTTATATTTAGAGTGCATTTTATCAGTGATTTCCAGATCACAGTTTTGGAGTTCTTTAAAGAACTGCTTTACATGCATAAAGTTTCAAAAGAGCATAGAGAAACATCATTAATAAAAGTTGAGATGCTTTGATCTGAGATTATTAGGAAAAATACATCAAAAAGTGTCTTCACTTTTTCTTTGACTTGTAATCTGTATATTATATATAAAGATCCTAGGAGGCTTTCCCTCTATTTCCATATTCCAGCTCGACAGCAGAGTCTTAGGATAGGCACCTTTCCCCATCGCATCTCACGTGAAATATTAAATCATTGGGCGACAGATCTCTCTCTCTTTAAAGCACAGAGCTACAATCTGCCTCTGGATTCTTCACCAAGCCCCCTGAATGCCTCTCTAGATTGTGTCTGAGTTCCTGTGCATCACTCTTGCATGAGGAGATGCTGGTGAGTGCTGGTGAGACCACTGTCATCATCAGCTCCACTTTGTAGTAGTCATTGATGGTTGTCCTCTCCTGACTGACACAGACTGGATGTCAGCAGTACAGGCCCAGGAGACAGACAGGCAGCTAGAATCTAAATGCCTGCTGCTTGACTCAAAGCACATGCTCTTACTGTTTAACCATGTCTTCTATTAAGATAATCACCCAGGAGCCAGGGCTGGTGTGAGGCCTGCAGTGTGCTCAGGTCGCGAGAGATCAGTCAGGTGGGCCCACTCCCCGTGGCTTGTTAGAAATCATCTCATGGCCAGCCGAGGAATCCAGCAGTGTCTGGGGAAAGAGGGGGCAGAGTGAGGTTTGGTTTGCTTTTATCTGCTTATTTTAATGGCTGTCAATACACAGAGTGAGGGAGGACTTAATAAACAATCCAAATAGTTGTGGCAGTTCATTCATTCATTGAAATGTATCAAATGCCAGTCCCAATTGTGTTTCAGGTGTTCCTTACTATCAATAATTATTTTTAGGAACTAAAGTGCTTTTGTGTTCTTGTTCACAAATGGGCAGGGGTTGTGTGAAAAATTATAAAAAGAGGAAACATAGTTTGGACAAACCTCCTTTTGCCAGCTGGCCAGTACAGGGATCCGAGCCCGTGACCGTGGTGTTGTAAGGCTGCGCCAACTGAGCTTCCTGGCCAGCCTGGACAAACATCCTTACTTGTGTAAAGAAGTGAGGAATTTTTTTCAGTTATGCCTGCCAAGGAGATTTTTCTTATAGTTTATTCATTTTTATTTGGAGCCACTAATAATATTTCTTTTTGTAAGGAATCATCTCACCTCTTCCCCTGGCCCATGGGGACCCTACCATACTCCAATTCAGAAATATCTCTCTCCTTGGAACAGCTTTGTACATTAACTTTTTGAAGATAGGAAATTAAGAACTGAATAGTGGCTTTTAATAATAGTGCAATAAAAATAAGTATCTTTTCAAATTTAAAACTTAAACAAAATATCTAAAACTTAAAAGTATCTAAATGTCCACATCTTTAAGATACAAAAATACATTTCAGTTTAATCCCATGGCCAGGTGGCATAAATACCTTAATTTGTAGCACTTTGTAGCTATTGAATATAAAGCAGCTTTCAGTTTCTGTTTAACTTATTTTTTATTCATTTATTGATGGCTGGCTGGTACAGGGATCATCCATACAATTTTTTTAAACTTATTTTTTCAGGAAAAAACATAGGTCTCAAGAAAAGCCAGTGTCTGGGGATTATAAATTCATCACTTGCCCTGTTGTTAGTAGGGCAAGTTGAACAAGAATCCAAACTAATGAATTGGAATTGTGTAATATTAGAATAGCCATTTGGTTTTAAAAACTGGGTTGCCAGAATGCTACATATGATGCGGATATTAAAGTAATTAGAACTAGAAAGTAGGAGGTAGACAGATAGGTATAAAATACCACTGAATTTGGGGTAGCAATTAGGGAAATGCTAAAAGTTCATGCAGACATATACGCACACGCTTGTTTTTGGTAGCTCTCGCAGAATCATGTGTTTGCAGTCTGGCCAGGGTCGTAGGCTCCAGTCCTGTCCCCTAAGACACGGGATCTCTGTCTAAAAGTTACTGAGAAATGAAGACTCCAGAAAGCCGGAAAATGTCCAGGCTTTTAATGCACACTGACAGCCAAACAGAACGCTCTTTCCCTTTGCAGTTTTTTTTAGTGTCATTTTAAGTTGCAGCTTCCGGCCAATCAGCAAGCTCCATGCCTGCTGACATCACGAACCAGCCAGTTCCCTCCAGCTGCAGAGAGCTTCAGTTTGTCTTTTTTTTTTAAACTAAAATGGAGGCTGGTTTCTTGCCTTAAGGAGTACATTGCCTCTCCCGCTGAAGTCTAGATGTTGACATGTAATAAAGCGGGCAGCAGGATGGTGGTGGATGCGGCCAGCTCCAACGGGCCTTTCCAGCCCGTGGCCCTTCTCCATATTCGAGGTAAGTTATTGTGTGTTTCACTGAATCGGAACCTTCCGTGGGTAGTTAATAAATGGCTATTGTGCCTCAGATAAGAAAAGCAGGAAGTCTTTTCTAGCAGAATTCACTCCGTTTCGCTGCAGACTTATCCAGAGGAGGTTGGGTGTGCCACTGCAGTTTGGCATTTTACGAACTACTCACAGAATTTGGGGCTTGATGGAGGCCTTGCATGCATAGTTCAAAGCTGGTTTTTCTGCTTTCTGCTTGCTCTCCCATCCCCCTTTCAAAGCTGTGCTGATGTCAAAGGATGTGAAGTCACTGCCCAGGGAAGGTATTGGGTGGGGGTAGGAAAGAGAGGCGGGCCGGCTGAGCCTGGCCAAGTTGTCTGTACGTAGAGTTTCTGTTACATCTGTGTTGCTTAATACTGCCAAGGTTTTGTCGGGGACACATGTCTGAATTAAAGATGAATTGCAGTCAGAAAACATGCAGAATTGACTAGAAAAGAACTTCCTCTAAAAGGATTTGTTTTCATTTTTGCCATGGAGCCTAAAAGAGAAATATGTTCATGCTTTGAAATACTGAAATATACTGTGGGTCATAATTTTTGAAATGTTAGCATTTTCACAGACTCTTAGGAAATAATCTGCATTTAAATAGACTATTGCCATTTGACTTGAAAATGTTAAATGGCAGCAAGTTTTCAATGTGTATATAGATCACTAATTTAATAATTACAGTTTGCTTCTTTTATGTTTTATACATGTTTTGGGTTCAAAATTTAGCTTGAAAACACAGTTACTATAGTGACTAATAGTAGTTATATTAAACTATAGGTGTCAGGGTAGCAGCATACTTATTCCTATTGGTATTTTTAGATATTTGACATAAATTTTTTGTTCATAATTGGGTAAAATAGAAAGTGGATGTTAAGCTCCATTCAAGTCACTTCAAAATGTGTAACATCATAGCTGTGCCCTCGCAAAACAGTTTTAACTGTCACAATCTCCTTTAAGGACCCACGTTAAGGAAGGGCGGGGACAAGAATTCTAGGTGACTAATAGCCTCTGTGACTAAAATGCCGGACAAGATTTTTCAGATCCTAGGGTGCACCCAGGGAAGATAGAAGCACATGAATAAATGCCCAGTCTGTTGGAATAAAATGGATGTTGCTTTTCTCCCCAAACCCTCTTTAATGAAGCTGCTGGAAATCAACATCCACAATGAGCAAATTATAGCAGAAGCTATGAATTTGTTGTTTTGTAGTGCACCCAGGAAAAAGCAAAGGTTGGCTACAAATAAGATTTAGGTATTTTAGCTGCAGGAACCAGATGGGCAAGCACAAATGTAATTGTTTGGATTTAAGTTAGTTTTTAAACACTAACTAGTTAGCAATACAATAATCTGATTGCATATAAAATGTAAATTTTTATACTTTTAGGTATCTTATAAATCATTTTGTGAGTCTTCTGGTTTTTATTAGATACCTAATGTACTAGTCATTGTTTGAATTATAAATTTATTCTGAAATAGAATCATTTGATTTTATATCTTAAACCACATTGTTCCTTTTTTTTTTTTTAATTCCAAGACCTTATTATGGCCAGTTTGGGTTTTTTGCTGTTGGTTGGGTGGTTGGATGGTTGCTACATAATCATGGAGAGAAATAGTGAAGTGTATTAATCTGAAAGAGACTTGAATTTTTAAGAAGGAGTAACCTTTAAGGACTGACTAACTTCTAATTCAGATGGTGGGGAAATTTCTAATTTCAAAATTTGCAGAATACTTGATTTAAGGACTTTTTGGAGCAGGCATATTAATATGAGGTTTAGCAAAATCTGTTTTGTTTATTGGGCTTTTAGATTCTCAGTTTAACATCCACTTAGCAGCTACTGTGTGCCAAGTACTGAGAGTCATTAAAAATGACTGGAGTATAGCCACTGCCACAAAGGAGCTAGCTAATGGTTCAGTGGGAGAGACCCACCACGGAGCCTGGCACAGGAGGGATGGAGTTAAGAACTCGCTGTCAGGGCAGGGTGCTCTGGAGGGAGCAGGGATTGGTGTCGCGATGATTGGAGACGGGACAGGAGAGGGCGCGGCACCAGGTCACCTAGCTCCCAGCTCATTCAAATGGGGATGTCTGTCCCATTAAGACAGGAGGGGTCTTTCACACAGAAGGGAAACTTGCCCAAGGTCACACAGCCCGTAAGTGGTGGAGCCAGAATCCAAACCCAGACAGTTGTATTGTTTTGTTTGGAATCTTTTCTTAAAAAACTCATTTTAAAATAGAAATTTTGGCTGTTTGTAGAACATTCTGCTACAGGATTACAATAGGTTTTTTTTTTTTTCCTCCAATGCCCTATTATCTGTTTGATTGAGTAGCCTCTTTTTGTGTGACAGTTTTGCACTCGGTTCATTTCTCATTCGTTTTACAAATATTTGTCAATCACACCACATGCCAGGTAAGGTCCTAACTTGGAATATAAGCAAGCTCTGTGGCCCAGCTTTCACGGAGTTCATGGTCCACTGAGGCTGGGGCAGTCAAGTAAACAAACAAGTAAATCCAATCACTAAACTGATTTGTAGTTTCAATTGGTGTGATAGTTATTGTCTACCAAGTAGTCTGGAGTTTGTAATTAATATGGTGAATTAGCATGTCCTAAAAAGTTCAAACGTGAAAGGGACATATTTTTTAAACTTACAGTAAACCTTTCTGTCTGTAGAAGGAGTGTCACCTGGAGCTTGATGGCTATAAATTTAGCTTGATGACTTAAACCTGCACTTCCAGCACTGTCCAAGAGAACCATCTGCGATGGTGGAAATGTTCTGCTTACTGTCCACTGTGGTAGCCACTGGCCACATGTGACTGTTGAGCACTTAAAATTTGCAACTGAGAAACTGAATTCTTACTTTAACTTTAGTTATTTTAAATTTAAATAGATACATGTGTCTAGTGGCCACTATATTGGACAGCACAGTTCTAGACTGGAATTGGCAAACTTTTTGGAAAGGAGCTGGATCGTAAATATTTTTTGGCTTTGTGGGCAAAAGCCGCCATAGACAGTGAATGAATAGGCATAACTGTGGTCCAATAAAAAGCAGGTAGCAGACTGGATTTGGCCCATGGGCCATAGTTGAATTTTTGAATATTAAAAATAATACGTTTCTTGCAGGTTTTCAGCCATTGTGTAGTGCTGTGTCCCTGTACCCGATGGCTAGGCCATCTCCAGCTACCTACTTCTGGTTCCACATGTCAAATATAATTGCAAAGTTGTTCTTTTTTAATCCTACAGCACTTTGCCAATTGTAACGAGCTTTTGTGAACTCTCATTTATTTGTTCCTCCAGCACTCCTGCCCGGGAAGTGAGCAGGACAAGTCCTAGTGTTTCTCCTCCCCAAGGTCACAGCCTGTAGAGCCCAGTGCTGCCCCCTCTGCACTAGTCACATGTTCCCAAAGCTGCTGCTGGTGGCTGTCCGAGAAGAAGTAGCAGCATTTATTGAGCATTTTCAACATGTTGGGCCAGGACCACACTCCTTCTATCTCTGTTCTCTCTTTGAATCCTCCCAGCACTGTGAGGCATTATTATTCCCTTTTTTTTTTTTTTTTTTCTTTCTCATAGAGGAAGGAGAGCCTCTTGCCCAGGGCCACAGAGAATGTTGAGAAAAGATTTGAGCCTCAGTAAGTACGACAGCAAAGCTCATGTTCTTTCCTCTGCACAATATCAGAGTGTTGGGAGATGCCACGCTCCAACCAAGTGAGCTAACTGGCCAGTTAGAGTGTTGAGAGATGGTGGTAAAAGCTTCTACATCGTAGGTGCCCTTTTGATTTTTACTGTTTTCTGTAATATGTAATATATTTGAGTGTCTGGAGTTCAAAACTCATTTCAGGTTTGCATAGGATTTTGTTAAACGTTTGCACACACACGTTTTCAGTGTAGGGGAAGAAAGTTGATAATTTCCCTGCTAATCAATTTCACTTATCAAGTCTGCCAGGTGCTGATTGTTGGCTTAGTTTTCTTGTTTTGTTTTCCACAAAATCATGAGCATCCTGAGGGTAGTCCAGGTGAACTTGTTCTGTCCCATGGCACGTAAGCATCATTCCTAGATTATAAGCACCAGTCTGTGTTAGTGCCTTGAAAATAAAGTTAGTTCTCTGAGTGATCACTCAGATAATAGCTGTCTGGTATATTTCTTAGCTGACCGATCAGCAGAGTGGTGCTTACCATGCTCGTGAGAAGCCGTACAGGGGCCTGGTTGAAAAGCGGACCCACATACCACTTGTCTCTGGACCCTGCTCAGACTAAATCTCCTTTCCCTGTCAGACTGGAAATATTACCACCAAGCAGAGAACTTTTAAAAATGGGATAGTTTCTGTCACTAATATACTTTTTAAAAAATCTTTTCTTTTTAATCTTGGAAGGACATTGGTTAAAGTGCACAGGGACAAACTACTACTACAGCAAATAAAAGTCTGGTTTTATTTTAGGCCCTTGAATTATTAATGCATAGTTTTTTGTGTGGTTTTTTTTTTAAAAAAGACTAAAGAGATATAGCAGTTAAATACAGTGAGAGACTCTAGATCGTTTTATTTTAGGCCCTTGAATTATTAATGCATAGTTTTTTGTGTGGTTTTTTTTTTAAAAAGACTAAAGAGATATAGCAGTTAAATACAGTGAGAGACTCTAGATTAGATCCGTGTTCTAAAAAATATAAAATCAAATCTAGAAGGACATTGTGGGTTCAGCTGCAGAAAGTTGAGTATAGAATGATAATTGAATGCTGTGGAATTATTGTTAATTTTATAGGTGCAGTAAAGAAGCTGTCATTCCGCACAGGACCGTCCTTATTCTTAGGGAGTGCAGGCTGAAGCATTTACAAGTGAAGTATCATGATCTTTGCAACTTCAAGTGATAAAGGGAAAAATAACTTTAAAGCAAATATGCTAAAGTATAAACAGTTGTTGAATCTAGGAGAATGTATATACAAGTATTCACTCTGCCTCTACATAAATTTAAACTTTTTCA